TCCTTCTTACAAGTAAGGCCTAATAAGATACATGATGTTCAAGAAGTTAGAAACAGGTGTTTTTATTGCTTACTGCCTTCATTTCTGACTATTGGTTTTCATTGGCTTAATGAATAGCAACAGGAGCAAATTAAAGAGAGCCTGATTATAAATTCACGATGCTGCCATGTACCAAAAACTGGGCCTACAGTCAAGCTGGCCCAGAATGTTTGAGTCCTAGAGATTACGTATTAAATCTTCAGAACCATCTTGACCCAATAAAGCATCTTCTGAACTCCCACTTCCGTGTCTTAAGACTCTTCTTAAAGTTTGGCTTTATTTGAATACTCATGAAAACCCAAGGCAAGGTATTATTCCAGTACAAACAAGAGATCAAACTAGAATGCTGCTGTGAAATCTAGGGTTAATATATGAAAATTAGACACAGACCTTTTATTTATGCCTCAAATGTATGTTTGGGTTGGGAAGGAATCTCCTCCAGACACCATTGGTGACTGGCCTACAGGGAGGGCAAGTGTGTTTACGGCTTCCATTGCAGATGCTATGGGCTTGTCAAGACAGAAAATGGGACTTCATGCAGCAGAATTCCAAACTTCTTGTCCTTCCAGGTTCTGAGATTGCCCTTTTCCTGTTCCTCCTGTGTGTCCCCACTCCACGGGACATGTCAAAAAGAACCAGAGCCTTGCAGATCACCCACAAAAAAGGCCAGTTAGTATTTCATGATGAGAGGCAACCTCTCAAAGGCAGTGATCAGACAAGAGGTGTTTGTGGTGGGCCCTGCAAACATGTTCCAGAAAACACCTTTTCTGCCGGCGAAAGGCCCCCCAATGTAGGATGAATCAAATTCCACCAGCTTCAGTCTGGCTACATTATATTTGGATCATAATCCTGAAATGCACATTGATGCTGAAGAAGTCGCTTCTTCAAAACTTTAAGGCAACAATTAAGTATTCCATTGTCATGGCTCAATTAAATGGTTTGGCCTGAGAAAATTGGGGATTGTAAAGTGAGGATGGAATGTGCTTTGATCCTCTTTCCAGGGTTATTGTTTCATTAATAAATGAACATGTCATTTGTCTCACCAGAGGGAGCTCATGCCCTCCAGGCTTTTTTCCCTTTTTTGTTCAGGTTTTATAAAGATGAATTTCCAGTGCTCTGAAATACCATGGATTAGTAGTTAAGCCTGACAGCACTTCGGGGAGTAGCGAGCTTAAAGTGCCTCACACAGGTCTCCAAAGCACTTGTTTACTAATAGAGGAAATCAGCGACCGTCTGCAGCTGCTGATATCGCATTACCATTTGGAAAGACAGTAGCTGAGATAACAAATCACACAGTTTTAATAATTACTCCTGCATTCCCGTTTTTTGTTTCCTGCATAACTGTAAAGGCTGGATTTCTTCCAAATAAACAGATAAAAACAGTATGGAACTTTTATCTTTTAATGATAATGACAACACATCATGTTTCACTAAAAGTTTCCTGCTGAATTTTTTCTGATTTCTAGAGTTTCAATAAAATGTAATTATACTTTATAATTCCACTCTTTTAATCTTCACTTCAAAAACTGTTCACAGTGAGCAAGTTTGCAAGGCACCAAGAGTAGGGACAAACTGCCTGGACTTACCCATGTTGACTCTTTCCTGCTCTCTGTCTTGGGGTAAACCTGTCATTGAAATCGCATCCTGTACATTGAGCTGCTTTGCATTCAAATTAATAGCTAGTTTAATTTGAATGTAAAATAGCTCCATTTATGCCATCATTGGGCGGGGGAGAAGTAAGGCATTTGGCAATGAATGGATGTTTAAGATATGATACATTTGCAACATATTTTTAATCCTAAATTGAACCTATATTAGGATGGGGACATTTTAATATCAATAGATAAGTCATAAAAGAAGCCCTTTTTAAAATCTGCATAGTAAATATGTGCTTTAGGGGTCAAAACGACTTCATTGTACGGATACAGTACAGGGTTTAGTTCATACGGTTGGTGCTGGGCATTTTCCGGCAAATCTGTGCATTGTTACATTTCTATAGACCAAGAATGGCAATTGATTTTTAAAACACATGCTGCAACTTTATTTGCTCAGTAATTACATGGACTTTATTTGGAGGTCAGCGAAAGAACAACTAAATAGGAAAATGAAGTCTTCCTCCCCGTGCAATGAAACCATAAAAGTTGGCAGACAGAAAGGAATGCTAAACTTTTTCCCAGAGCTCTGAGTTTGGTTTCCACTGGTCCATGTTCCATTGGGTGATTAGAGAAAGCTTTTTTAAAGCCTTACTTCAGAATGATCTTAATTGGTGCAAGGTTGAGCCCTTTCTAGGAGGGGAGGGAAAAGGTTGAATAGCCTTTTCAAGTCACATGAAAGTTTCTAGGATGAATGTACGATAATTAGATTAATAAGTAGCTTAATTTATCACAGCTGAGGATTTCAACAGCCACACATTAGAGCAAGAGAAAAAGATTAGTGTGATTCTAGTTTGTAAAAAAAAAAAAAAAAAATTGTACTGAAACTTGATTAACCTTAAACACAAAGTGCCTTTCTTTCTCACTCTAAATGTCTGATGGGGGAGGAGTGTGGAGTGGGGAAGTAGGAGAGAGGACCTGAATGAAATAATCAGAAAAGTCCTATTTTACTCCTTTCTGTCTCCCAGTTAATGAGCAGTGTATCAGCATCGCTTGAACCAACTTTTCCCTCTACGTTTCTTATTCTTCAAGTAATGGATTGGCCAGAAGCCTGTAGAATCTTAAATGAGGTTGCCCACCCACATCCTAAGAGATACCTTTGCTGATGTGTCATAAGCAGGTACTCTTGCCTCTGGTGAGGAAGAGAAAGATGTAAGGTAATTGGGAAGAGACCTCAATTTCAGTTAGTGTGAGAGGGTGCACTCAGGAGAGCTTGTTCAGTGGTAGTTCTACAGATGTCTCAGAGCTATAAAACCTGAATTTAGACCCAAATCCTCAAAGATCATAGGTTGCTCAAGCAAGGGCAGAGATGAATTGAGGGGAGTAGTAGTCATTGATAAAACATGCAAAATTAAGATAACTAATATGACAGCAAGAATAATTACTTTAAACAGAGTCAGGAAATCAGATGGAAATTGGTGATCAAAACAATATGCATCTGGGCTGGGGTTGTGGTTCAGTGGTAGAGCACTTGCCTAGCATATGCAGGGCCCTGGGTTCGATCCCCAGCACCACAAAAATAAATAAATAAATAAAGGGCCGGGGATGTGGCTTCATGGTAGAGCGTCCCCTTGGGTTCATTCCCCAGTGTGTGTGTGTGTGTGTGTAAATTATTGTCCATTAGAAGTCTTTTCTTCTCCTATCTCTCCCACAAGTACACAGTAAAATATTCTCATAGCAAGTGGAGTCTGCTGCACCAGGTAATAATCATATCATCAGGGGTGGGCAAGGTTCAGATTTTATTAACCTTAAACTTCCTAACTCCTGTCTGCTATAAACTAGACTGTAGCACTGTATGGACCAAAGCCACTGTCATCAACATTGGTTTCCCAATGGAAGAGCCTGAACTGTGAGTCTATGGTACCTGTTGACACTCAGCGATAGTGGATAGCCCTGTTTGAGGCCTTGCCTGTATGTCTGCGTGGACGAGGTATGTGGTTGGGTGTAGGTGGGCAGCTGGGACACTCTCCAACTGGAAGGGAAACATACAGAACTAATACCAGATATCCTTAGAAATGACAATTCCTTCATCACAACAAAAATCACGAGGTTCTTAGTCTCCAAAGCTTACACAAAAGAGTTCTGAAAGAGGTGCAGGGCGGTGGGTGCAGACAGCCTTGCTAACCTGTTGGGAGTTACCTGCAGCCCACGCACAGCCTGCAAGATCAATCCAGTAACTGCACCAGCACCAGAGGTAGATCCATTTCCACTGTCCTGGTGATTTCTTTCAGAGAACAGGTAGATCTCTTCTGCTGGGATGAAAGAAAAGCTTTTTAAGCCGGGTACAGTGGCACCTGCCTGTAATCTCAGCTACTCGGGAGGCTGAGGCAGGAGGATCGCCAAATTCAACGATAGCATCTACAATTTAGCAAGATCCCTGCTGTTAAAATATAACACACACACACACACGGACACTAATCATATAATGAAAAATGACATTACATTATGGGTAGTATTTTCAATGTTGCAATATGGAAACTTAAGAACATTAATGGAATTAGGAACCCTGAGTAAACTCTAAAGCCAAGCACAGTTCATCCAATAGCCTGATTCTGAAATTGTGCTTCTAATCTAAAATGGATATCTCATTACTGGTTAACATTATTTATCTAGGAGGAGTTATGACCTCTAATTTGCCTTTAAATGATTAATTTGGTGTTTAAATAAGTGCCTTTTATTTAATAATGTTTTCTTCAACCAATTCACTTATGTCAATAAACTCTTTGTTTAACCTCCTTGAAGGAAACATTTTCTCTGCTCAGAAGCAATTAATGAGCTATCAAATAAATAGGTACAGGAAAAATGCACTAAAATTCAATGCTTCCCAGGACAACAGAAGTGCTTCCATTTGTAGAGAGAATACTGTGAGTTCCTGTCGCTACAACACAGGAAGAGTACAAATCTGTTCCTCAGCTTCCCACAAGGCCCCTCCTTGTCCTTAGGTCATGGCAAAGGCAAAGCACACTAGACTATCTTCCCACAGGGGTGGGAGCACCCCAAACAAAATTAGAGTCATTTTCTTTCGATTGCTGGTTCTTTTTTGTATGTGTGTATGCGCACACCAGAGTTCGAACCCAGGGCCTTGTGCATGTGAGGCAGGTACTCTACCAACTGAGCTATACCCCCAACCCCTTAATTGCTGGTTCTTTTAGTTTGGTTAAAAACAATTACATACTGGGTACAGTGGAGTGTTCCTGTAATCTCTGCAACTCAGGAGGCTGAGGCAGGAGGATGGCAAATTCAAGAACAGCCAAAGCAATTTAGTGACTCCCAGTTTCTAAATAAAAATTTAAAAAGTAAATAAATAAAAAAGAGCTGGGATATAGCTCAGTGGTAAACTGCCCCTGGGTTCAATCCCCAGTTAAAATGTAGAGGGCCATCCCCTCAGTTGAAGCTCCCCAATCCACAGTTTTTCCAGTCTCCATTTCTCAAATTATTCTTCTATACCCATCTCCTCACCCCTTAGGTCCAATTGGAGAGTTTTACTTTGGGGACCATTTAGGGACCATTCTTGTCTTAATTCTTTGCCTCATCTGTGCAAGTTGTACCCACCATGTTTTTTGTTGTTGTTGTTGTTGTTTTGGGGTTTTTTGTTTTGTTTTGTTTTTTAGTGTTATAAGAAAAATTTGAGGATTTTGGAACCAAATGGGCCTGGTTGGAATCCATGCTTGGTTACTCCTGAGTCCCCATTATTACACCCCATATAATACCCTCTGACTTTTCTTCCTAGCCCTTCTCAACTGTTGTCATTACACATTTGATTGCTATCTGCCTCCCTTCTAGACAGCAAACTCCACCTGGGTGAGGGTAATGGCTATTTGTCTCACCATTTGATCCCCAAAGACGGCATAGTCCATGGCATTTGCTACGCAGATAAATACTTATTGAAGGCACGAATAAACATCTCTGAATTCATGTTCTCATCTATGCAATGTAATAATTATATCCAATGTACAGAGTTGTTACTAGAAAAAATATGAGAAAATAAAATGAGATTATGTTGGATAACTGGCACATAGTACAATGCACCAAACAAACGAGGTGGTACGAGATAGCCATTCACTGAACAGACTTGAAGTTAGACCTGCATGGATGTGACATTAGCCTTGCCTCTGTTACGGGGCATCAGACAAGCTATTTCTCTTTCCCAGGGTTCTATTTCTTCCTCCATAAAACTGTGTAATTTATCTGGTATTGCTGTTGAATGTATTAAATTTGGTTGTCTGTGTGCTCACTAGCCGACAGGCATTCATAATGGTATCATTTGCTACCACCGCTCAGCTAACCATTCTTGTACTCGTGCAACAGACTTTTATTGACTCTATACTATGCCCCTAACAATGAGTTGAGTGCTAGGAAGACAATGGGAGCAAATCAGAACGGACCATCAATCATCATCATGAAATTTACAGACTAGTGAGGTAGACCACTAATAAATACATATGCTAATAAGTATGTCAATACTGTCTGGGCTCCGAGGCAGCACATGTCTATAATCCCCACAACTTGGGAGGCTGACCTCACACGCAGGAGGGTTGCAAGTTCAAAACCAATCTCAGCAAATTGGTGAGAACTTGTCTCAAAAAAAGAAAAAAAGAAAAAGAACTGGAGATGTAGCTCAGTGACAAAGCACACCTGCCTCAATGCCCAATAGCAAAAAAGAAAAAAGAAAAAAAAGTATACAAATGCTAACTCTGCTAAGAAAGAAAAGGACAGGATGCTATGAGAAGGAACGAAAAGTGGGGGGCAGGAATTTACTGAAGCAACTCTTCTTCAGCTCAAATGCCAAGAGCTCCATAAAACCTTTCTTTGGGGGCTGGGGTTGTGGCTCAGTGTTGGAGCACTTGCCTAGCATGTGGGAGGCACTGGGTTCGATCTTCAGCACCACAAATAAATAAATGAATAAAATAAAGACCCATCAACACCTAAAAACAAAACAAAAACAAAAAGAGCCTTTCTTTGTCTCTTCCTATTATCTTCCAGTTATACTGCCTTCTCTATCATTCAAACTTTTATTCTGATGTTTGCTTTCCTCTAACATAATAGCAGTTATTATTAGCTATTTTTACTAATCTAATTGAAGCCCTGATCTAAGCCTTGCCAAATGGCCAAGGAGCTTCTTGAAGGTAAGAACTCTGTTCTACCTGCTTATGCTATAACCACAGGCTCTAGCAAAGTTCCAGGCACAAACAGGAATATTTGTGGAAGAGAAACAAATGTGAAGCTGTTATTTTGCTTCTGAACATGAAAGATTTATCCTACTCAGGTGGACTTTTCTAATGCTTGCATGTTGGGCTATTTATTTAGTGAGTTTTTCTTTCACACAGTATAAATGACGACTATATCTGAAGCAGGTTAGAATACTTAGAATTTTAATCACAAAAAGGGTTTAACATCCTGTGTCAAGAGGGATTCTTGGGAGAATCCTAGACTAAAATCCCCAGACTAACACCTGAAGATATTCTCTGTTCTGTAATGTTTGAAGTACCACTCCAACACAAAATCCTTCATCACTCATTCTATGATCTTGTCAGAAAGTGTGATCATCATTACTTTCAACAGAAAGCATCCTAATGGCTCTTTCTGTAGCCCAATTGCTCTATTGGAATGAAAATATTTAAGTTATTCCCAGATTAAAAGTAAATAATTCAGTAAAAGAAAATGTATCAGTTCATGTAACTGAAAAATCCAGAGATAGGAATATCATGGCTGAGGCTTGATCCAATGTCTCAAGTATATTCAAGTGATCTGGATTCTTCCCATCAGTCCAAGTCAACTGCTTCCTAAAGCTGGCTCCATTCCGGGTCCCAAGAGGATTGCTCCCAGCTTCCAGAGCCACGTGCTTTCTTTTTGTGTCCAAGAGTGTTCCAGTATTCCCCCAAAACCCACTATAATCACTGCATGGCTGGCTCTGTTCACACACTTACCTTGATTTCCTCACTATAGTCAAGGATAGCATAGGAGGGCTGGCTGGACTGAGGTCAGCTTCCCCAAAACCACAGATCCCCCAAAGAAAACTGGGGACTGAGAAGAGGGAAGAGGGAAAAGGGTGCTGAGAAGGCATCTATCTAATAAATGGTGAATGAATATGTACAATCTCCATCAGCCTCAGTCTCTGAAGCCTGCATGAGGGTATGGGATCAGTCACTCACAGAGGCAAGAAGGAAAGAAAGACAGGATTTCTTCCTTCTCTTTTGAAAATAGCATCATTTTTTTAAAAAAAAAAAAGAAAAACTCTCTTTTTGCATTTGTCCTTAGGAGAAAGTGTTATGGCCTAATATAATTAGTACTTTTAAATAAAATTATTCCTGGGCTAGGGAAGTGGCTCAAGCGGTAGCGCGCTCGCCTGGTGTGCATGGGGCCTGGGTTCGATCCTCAGTACCACATACAAACAAAGATGCTGTGTCCGCCGATAACTGAAAAATAAATATTGAAATTCTCTCTCTCTCTCTCTCTCTCTCCTCTCTCTCTCTCTCTCTTTAAAAAAATAAAAATAAAAAAAAATAAAATTATTCCTATTCTAAACTTTTAAAATCACTATAAATGAGTGGAGGTCAAGTGGCAATAAATGGTGTCTTCAATGTTTAGAAATGTTGATGAGAACTTTGTCTCCAGTTATTTTGTCTTTTTAGGGCTGGGGATGCGGCTCAGAAGTTGAAAGCCCTTGAGTTCAATCCCCAGTAACCCCCCAAACAAAATAAAACAAAAATTGTCTCCAGTTACTTTGAACAAGTGAAAGCTGGAGAGAATTCACTGGATATATTCTGTTCCTTCTCTTTTTCTCTTCCTCTGTCCCTCTCTCTGCGCCCCCCCCCCATCGCTTTCTCTCCCCTCTCTCAAACACACTCATCCACATTTTCCCCTCTCCTCATTTCCTCTACCCCCTCTTATTCTTTGTTCCCTTATGCATTCTCTTATACTTGTGTTCACTCTCTTTTCTTTCATAATTTTCACTCTGACTTTCTCTCTCTTAAGTGGGCTCCAATGGGTGGATTAATATAGTAGAAGAATTTTTTTCACCAATGTTAAAGAAAATAGGTGTTAATAGGGGTCTGCTGTGGGGGAACTGCCTACTTGCACTTCTCTGTGGCCTCCAAGCTGGTTAGAGGATGAAGTATCAGTTGTCTGTTAAGAAACACGCTCATTTTACCAAAACGCTCTGCCTCCACCAGTGAAGGAGAGAAACTTCCATCTGCTTGCTGGTGAGCTCTGCTAGCTCTTATCTCCCTAATCCTCACACCACCCTTGAGAGCTAAGAAGGCAGCTTAGTTTTCTCACCCCCATTTCAGTGTTTTGAAGGACCCATAAGTACAGGCACTAACAGTGAGAGAGAAGAACCAGGTCTGTAGACCTAAGGTATTACTATCTTTACTTCTGGCTGATTTTTCAACTCTGACATTTCCTCAAAGTAGCATGAAATCTCTTCCCCAAATAACTTTATCCATTAACTATTAGCATTACCAAGAAGGATGGCTCACAAACAAAGGACAATGACACTAAAGTCAAGCAAGATGTAGTAACTCTTGCATATAAAATAAAGGCATTAGCTAGTCAATCCCTAAAAAACAAATACCAAATGTCTTCTCTGATATAATGAGAGCAACTATGAACAGAGCAAGGAGGAAGAGCAGGAAGAAAAGACTAACATTTAACAGAGTCATGAGATGGGAGGGAAAGGGAGACAAAGGGAAATTACATGGAAATGAAGGGAGACCCTCATTGCTATACAAAATTACATATAAGAGGTTGTGAGGGGAATGGGAAAATAAACAAGGAGAGTAATGAATTACAGTAGATGGGGTAGAGAGAGAAGAAGGGAGGGGAGTGGAGGGGAGGGGGGATAGTAGGGGATAGGAAAGTTAGCAGAATACAACAATTACTAATTGGGCATTATGTAAAATTGTGGATGTATAACCAACGTGATTCTGCAATCTGCATTTGGGGTAAAATTGGGAGTTCATAACCCACTTCAATCTAATGTATGAAATATGATATGTCAAGAGCTTTGTAATGTTGTGAACAACCAATAAAAAAAATAAAAAATTTAAAAAAAATAAATAAAATAAAATAAAGGCATTGTGCTTTGGGGTCAGTCTAAGCCAAATATAGGTCTCAAATTAGTAAATTCATCGCATATTTCCTTAAGGAATCCAGTCTGTAAAAAAGATTTGATTTGAAATTTCACAATAGACATTTGTAGTTATCAAAATGCCCTTGTTTGGGGGATAACTCTGAGAAGATTAACACAAAAGTGCTTCAAAGATATATAACATGAGACTTCTGATTACCAAATTCTAAGTGGATCACAAGTAGTAAAGGGGAAAAAATTCTGCTCTTGAAGAGGTAATTAAATACCTAGTACTGGGTCACAAAAGATGAGAGACTGATGACGCTTTATGTTGCCTTATATTCAGTTTCAGGAGTTATTCTCATGACCACAGACAAACATGCTATTTTCTGGAAGTGAGGATTTGCATGTAGCCATCAGTTAATTCACGTTTCTCAGAGATTTTGCACAACCATTGTGAACATTTGTACTAGTGCAGAGATCAACATTGGCATTCAATCAACCCTCTACAAACATGTTCTGAGGTTTCTGCTCATGTGACAACTTGCTGTTTATCTGGCATGGGACCTACATAGTCCCTGTCCTCCAGGATCCCACAGTCTCAGAAGAAAACATTATTTTTTTAAATTTTTTTTTTGTTGTAGATGGACACATTACATTTATGTATTTATATCACCCAGGGCCTGTGCATGCAACACAAGCATTCTACCAACTGAGCTATATCCCTGCCCCCTGTTTGTATATTTTTTTTTATCTGGTGCCAGGGATCAAACCCAGTGCCTCATGCAGGCTAGGCAAGCAGTCTACCACTGAGCCACACCCTGGCCCCAAGACAACATTATTCATCTAAATATTTTAATTACAATGAGGTAATTCATATATTCTAGGCATCTTCGG